TCTGTTCCTTCGGGAAAGGCCTTGTCCCCTTCAACAGTAGTATAACAGACGAATAAGTTTAAAGGGAAATGGCAATATATTTTTTTATTTTTTCATTTGAAAGAACTTTTGAAACTATTTAATAACTTCTTTTACCGATTGTTCATATCCCGCTTAGTTCTTGAAATATTTTCACTTGAAGTAATGACATGTTAGCGATCTTGGATAATTTTTTATCTCATTAACGGTAGTTTTGGTGACGTCACAACACGGATTAACTATATAAAAGTATTCGTTGCTGACCAAATATTGATTGGTAGATGTTTTAAAAATTTCAAGTAATCTTGATATTTCCAAGCGCATACAGAGTATAATTTTGAGTGCAAAATGATTAGTGGTTGTCTAGATAAAAATATTGGGTGACCCCTGTTGTGACGTAACATGCATATCTACAAAAATCCAAGATGTCGGCCATTTCATTTCTTTCGATTAAAATATTTGTTGAAGTAAGCAAGATATGAAAAAAAACGGTAAAAGAATTTTCGTTTGGGTTTTAAATGTTCTTTCAAACGAGAAAATAAAAAAATATATTGCCATTTCCCTTTAAACGATGCTTTTATTCGCTTTTTGTAAAAAAAGAATGCTCACTAAGGCGTGAGAACCGAGCCAGAGAAAAACTGGTAAAAATACCCCCTGGCTCGCTAATAATGAGATGCGATTACGGAAAAATACCGCGAAAACGAGTGAATAATATTAAAGTCTATCTAGAAAGTATCTAGGGGCCATAGTGGCCAGAACACTCCCCGTCTGGTAAGAAAATACCACTACGTTTAACGTTCTAAAGTGTTATTATTGAGTCACGAACACGAATTTAATTCGTATTCAGTTTTTAGCAGGATCAGTTCTGTCACTGGTCTGGTGTACACTTGCTTTGAGCCGTTCTTTGCTGTCGTAACTTCTACCTTTCGAACATTTTCATCCGCGCTGCTTAGAGTCTTCGAGACGCGAGCTAGCGGCCAATCGTTTCTCGGCGATTCTTTGCATCGGAGGAGGACCAGATCTCCCACTTGGAGATTTGGAACGTCTGTTGTAAACTTTCGCCTGTATTGTAATGTCGGCAGGAGTTCTTTTCTCCATCTGGACCGAAACGGTTTGCTAATAGTTGTACTTGCCGCCACTGTTTGGTATAGAGATCTTGGGGTCCGAAATTTCCTGGGGTTGACTTGAGTGTTGCCGTTTTTTGCGTCAGGAGAGTAGATGGTGTGAGGATTTCGGGTGCAGAGGGGTCGCTTGAGATGGCTAC